GAAGTGCGCAGGAATTTTAGGGGTAAAAACTGTCTCCGGTGTCGTGCTTGGGCTGATCATGGCAGGGCAACTGCTTCAAGGCACGGTCATGTTTTCCGTCCAAAAACCAAACTCTGCGCTTAGGCCTAACAGGCGGCGGCTGGCGCGGTGAACGGTTGTTTTGATGAGCGAAAGTCTTTGTGGAATAGTTCTCGGGCTGTTGGAAGGTGTCTTGGACATTTACCCAGCTCCTTTACCGGTGTTACCACGCAGACACAGAAGAAGTCGGATATAGAATAGCTCACTTTAATTAAATGTAAGGCGCTCGTAAAGAAGACCGGGCAAGAACGTCGTCTTTATTTCTTGCTGCGCGAGCTCTTCTCTGCCGGTTGAATGCGGCAATATAATAATAAAGTCAGCTAAACATCCCTCTACTTTATCGAAAAATGATGCCACATAAAAACAAAGAAACATAATTTTTCATTGAATTACCTCCAATGCAATCGGCAGATTTCAGCATGTCACACTCAGGTGTTTCCCGTGCGGACACGGGTGGTTATGGCCAGACTGAAAATCCACGCTATAGTGATGTGCACGGGCGTCGGGTAGCCCGAAAACTTTATCCTAGCCCTATTTGTAGGCCGGGTTTGGCCGAGCGGACGCCTACTGATGTCAGTAGATGTAAAGCTATAGTTAACTAGAATATGTAGGCGCATGACTAAACTGTTTTCCACAGGGCAGCACTTTTCTCGTGGTCGCCCCCCCCCCCCTATTTTTTCGGATCTCGTTTGCTTTGATCACTTTTCACGCAAGAGGAGAGGGTGCAGTCATATAAGATGAGCTTTGTGATTATCTATACACGGTATAATCCCCTCTCCTACATCTCAGGTACTAAACTTTAGTGAGAACAAGTGGTCTGAATATTCGAAGCTTGCTCTGCTTCCCAAAAAATATTTTTCACAATTCCGGCAACGAGTGCGAGACGTGAAAGGGTATTCATTTGGGAAGGATATACGTGACGCTGAAAAGGCGCACTTCACGGACGCCCGAATCACTTGACACCTTTTTTTTTTACACAAATTGTCACTGTGGCTGTTGCATATCAGTCATGTGCCGTTTGCTGAAGTTTCACTTTGACATGCTGAATAACATGACACATTATCGGAAAACAATGCCTTGTTCCCATAGCAAATCTTAAAACTTCTGGCTGGAATGGGCCGGGACCAGGCTCTAAATTTGTGCGCCGGGCCGGGCGGGCTCGTATCCCTCTAGCGTCGGGCTCGGGTGGGCTTGCGATTCAGTTGTTGGGCCCGGGCGTGGCTCGGCTTCTCGAAATTGGCTGGTGCAGAACTGTAAGCTACGCATTTGAAGAAAAAAAAAAGGAGAAAAAAGTGCTCAAAGTGAAGAAGGGCGGGTGAAGTACTTTCTTTCCTCGTGCTATTCCTCACTGCTTAGCTCCTAGTTCTTTCGTCGGGACGAGAGAAGGGTGAACGCAATTGCAGTGCGCAGAAAACTGTGGCACTGAACAGGTTCTATTTTTTCCGGCACTTGATTCATTCTTGTGGTAATAAACTTACAAGGCTTCCTGAATAAACGTTGCAGGGCTTATTTAAGATAACACGGAATAATAATAATATAATAATAATAATAATAATAATAATAATAATAAATTTTTATTTTTCATCAAGCATAGGATGAGGGAGGTAGGGAGAAAAAGCTGACTAGCAGCTTGACTTGTGACTTGCTTTGATCCCCCCTAAATTTACGCTTTGGCACATTTACAGCAGACTGTGCTGAACACAAAAGAACGACCAAAAACTGACAATTAGAAAGACAAATTGATAGGCTAATCAAACGGTGTACGTAAATAGGGCTTGGTTTCCTGATGTTGAAGTTTTTTTAGTCATTTTATTGTAATTTGGCAAAGGCTCCTGTTTAGTTTCAGGCTTAACAATTTTAAAATCACACTTGACGCAGGGGGTAGTGAGGGGGGGGGCTAGTTATTTCTTTGTTTGCACCACTAATTGAGCTTGTTCAGAACAGACGTGTAATTACTTGCGCTAAGTTGAACATCACGGTGTTTTCTATTCTAATGCATTGTAGTGTAATGCACTATTTGGAACGATAACACGTCCTCGCGATTTGAATTGAGCAGATAACAACTCGTATGACAAGTTCGTAATTTTTATTATTCGAACAACCCTAATGGGCCCTGAAGTGGGAGTAAAACTTAGCACACTAACAGCTATTTCGGAGAGACTTCAAGTTGATTTGACAAACTAACCTTTCAGCTCTAAGCCCCACCACGGTGGTCCATAGTGGCTAAGGTACTCTTCTGCTGACCCCCACGTCACAGGATCGAATCTCGGCAGCGGCGGCTGCATTTTCGATGAAGGCAAAAATACTTTAGGCACGTGTGCTCAGATTTGGGTGCACGTTAAAGAACCCTACGTGGTCAACATTTCCGGAGCCCTCCACTACGGCACCTCTCATAATCATTTGGTTGTTTTGCGACGCTAACCCCCACATAAGAATCAATTAAATCAACTCTCAGCTCAGATTTTGTATTATTTGGTTTATGATCATGAATAATTCAGATATATGAATAAGGTTGCAACACACTTATAAAATATTTATGAGCCCATATAGACAAACATTCTTCTTTTTTTTCCTTTATTTCCGGGCTGACTCAGGGCCCACTAGAATACCATACATTATTACAACCAGTACAGTGTAAAAGATCAAAGGATAGCCGCTTCCTGGCCACTTCGTTCCAGATAAGACAAAAAAATCAATAGAGTAACAAAAAATGACGTTTCCCGAAAGAAAGGTTGAAATAATTGGTGCGAGTTATTCTTTCATAAACTTTCAAGCGCTTTTCCAAGAGCATGGCGCATGCGTTGACTTTTTTTTTGTTCAAGTGAAAGCTGCTGGTCTTAGTTCATAAGTCACTTGCAGGGCTAGTGAGATACGTTGTTTTCTCTTCGTAGCAGGATGGAGTGCTTAGACTGAACACTCCCTTACTGCAGCGGATGAAAAATAAATGTGAGAGGAAGAAATACTGCACTCTTGTAGCGTTTCATTTACTACTTATTTCTTACTCACAACAGCATTTAACGCTGGGGGTCACCAGTATTTTTCTAACGTATTTCCGCCAACGATATCCATCGATGAAATAGACAAGCCAAAGAACAAATGTGGAAGTTCACCACAGCACAGTAACTCGCGGCCCGGTTAGCGATCACTGGGCAATCAATTGCTCTATTTCTCTCTACTGGGCTGTTCGCATTTCTGTGCAGTGTTCGTGTTCTCCTCCATTTTCCTCTTCGTGTATAATTATTTCATTTTGTTCTGTTTTTCTTGCTGTCGTTGTCTCTATATCGCGATATATATATATATATATATATATATATATATATATATATATATATATATATATATATATATATATATACATATGTGTGTGTGTGTGTATTGTAACAAAATTGGAACGTTGGGTTACTACTCATATAAGGAGGGGTCCTGCCTTCGTCAGAGGATCAGGTATACTAATGTAGACGCTCAAACTTGGTATCTGTCACCTCCGTCTCACCTTCAAAACTATTTGCGAAAGTAAGGAAGAACTAAAAAACAAAAAACAAACAACAAATGACGTTCCAAACAGGAAGAACGGAAACAAGAGTGTGACTGCTGAGCAACGAAACCAGACCGTGCACAGCCGAAAGTCGTTGCAAGCCCATGTCTAATTCTCATTTTTTGCTGGCCAGTTCTCGACGTGTGTCAGCCAGATTATCGCTGTGGTGGCAAGAGGGGCCCGTGTCGCAGCGCGCAACGTGTTTACCCTTAATTGGTCGTCTCTTTACCTTTCATCTTCATCCGTTTCTTCTCAATGGTCTTCATGTGGTAGGTGAGCGTAAGCACATCCCGTTGTACGTTCACGTGGAAAAAAAAACAAGAAAAGACATCGTACACGTACGAGTCAGACAGAAATTAAGCATCGTCTCCAGTTATGAATCTTTGTTGCCAACTTCCTCCTCGCTTACTTCCCGCAGGTAGGAGAGTCTTCCACAGTCCTCGTTAATGCCGGGTAATAATGTTCTGAATTTGAAAAAATAAATAAATATGCCTGACGCTGTTCGCACTCGCGCCTGTTTGACAAACCGGACTGCAAAAGTGTTACGCTGAGAATTTCGAAACTGCGGTTTGGCAGGCGCAGATGGCTAGACAAAGGTAGCTTCGGCAGTGAAGCATCATGGTGTCGGTGATTATTGAACCGCAGCCGAAATGACTTTTATGTTTCGCCTATATATTCTTGCCCGCAGAAGTTGTAATGTAGCATGCATTTTACGTTACTGGAGTCACAATTAGGGGTTTCAGTTATGTAGAAGTTAAAATCTGAAAAGTTTGCTTTTGATTCACGTGTTGCAACCACCTGTGGGCCCACCTTGCAACGATGTTTTCCGCCGGGATCGCACTGTGATTGAATTTTGGAGCACCCTGTTGGCACCCTCATTGAATTTTTGCTCTGTCAAGAATGTCCTTCAGGTTTTTATCCCCGCAGTACACCACGTGAGGTGGCTCCGCGTAAATTGAAGCAAGTCGTTTGCTTTGCCTGATTATGTTGAAATGGCGGGAAAGTATGTTGTTGACTGGTGGCACTCAATGAGCAAAATTTTAGTATAGAAAGAGGAAGCCCAACCTTTAGAGTACATTTTACATAAACAACACCCAAACGACATCAAAAGAATATCAAAAAGCAGCCACGTCAGCAAAAATTTTTTTTCTGTCTGAAATATTTTAGAAGTTCACTTTTTTGTTGCAGTGAATCAGTACAGTGTCCTGTATTACTTTTTAGATGGTCGCCGAAATGGCTGGGACGATTGGCATGGAATGACCCAATTATATATATTTTTTTGTTCGTTGCACTATCTAGACTTACCTTTAGGAAACCTTCAATAATGAATTTCATTACTTGACCACTGAGTCAATGGTGAGCAAAATGTTGCCAAAGATACCGAGAATTCAAGAAATGATGCATTTTTATTAATTACCAGTCGAACATATACAAAGTCATAATCTTATAAGTTACACTTTCAGTGAGGTAAGCAGGTTATCGATGCTCTTGGTAAATTACATTACAGTGGGATTTCCATGTGCTTTCCCACATTATCTAGCGATTTCTTGATGTCTTCGACCACCCTCTTCAAGGTCTCACTCAGTCCGCCAAAGAGGTATTCTTCGCTCTGAAAACATGCAATGTTGTCATAATTAGCAAAGCTATTGCTCGAACCTCGTTAAAAATAAATATTTACGAATGAAGTCAACAAAAACACTGTCCTCGCGCCTTCATGACAATATCTCCGAATAATTGTGCTTGCTACCCACAGTGAAGCGCATATCTGGAACATCGCAGACTGAGGAGGCGTGACAATTCAAACTAATGATTGTGCGCCAAGAAAGACGTGTAATGCCACACCAAAGCTTCACCTAAAGCTTTTGGACACGCATTAGTAATTTTTTTTTGCGGGGGGGGGGAGGGGGAGATTATATTGACGTTAACCTAGGATATTATTGGTGGGTTATTAAAAAAAGCTCTTTTTATACCGCTTGCGGGCTGCGCGAGAGGCATAACAGACTTCATTTCCAAACGTTCATTTTATCCGTTGAGCTCCTAGAAACCCTTGAGCTTCAAGACGCATGTTTCTTGTGTTGCGAACCCAATGGTACGTTGGTTCCGGTTCGTTATTTAAAAAGCGTGGCCCTACAGTAATCTTTTCGAAGTTTCCAGTTAATAATACCTTGGGATATTGTCAGGGGCGAAGCGCCTTAGTCTTAACGCTTGCCTGTTGTCTGGCACAGCATATGTAAGGTACCCCCCATACACTTCTCGTACGTCCGTCTCAGCACAGCGCTTGTAGAGGTACCTTCCATACACCCATTATAACTTCCATTAGGTATGGGTTCAAAACTACAAATACTTTATGAAGTACGGAAGTACCCACTACTTCTTTTGTCATTCTGCTGATAAGCGAAGTATTCGCTACGCATCAATAAGGCATCTACGCGCAGTTCGTGCTACGGCTAATGTAGATGAAGAATCGGCGCAATCTTGACCATATATTCTCCTTCTGTCATGGATGAAAACAACCGTGAAAGGCAACGCTGACGCAAACATCAAGCTAGCCAAGACGTGAGAGTTCGGGAAGCAGCGGCAAACGGCAACGTCAACAACAAACTGCTACTCCGGAGGTGAGTGCGTGGCATGCGGTGACTCGACATCTACGCAAACAGCAGCCTATTCCGGAGTTGATAACTCGGGAAGCAGCAATTATTGGCTCCGCGGCTCTCGTTAATCAGTATCAGACGTTTTATTCGTTGCAACAGGCAGTACACAATCAAACGTGGAGTGTTCAACGTCTCGATAGATGCTCAGCAATCGGTGCAATGCATTGCTGGAAAAACACCCGACGACGCAGCCATCAGCGTGCACTTAAAGCGAAAGCTGACAAGCAAGCTCTTGTACGGGTCTTTGACAGTTGAGAAACGAAATATTCACGCGTGGTTGAAGCCTACCTAGAATTCTCACTCTTCTACGCATACCTTAATATAAAGAAAACGTACATAGACCTCGTCTTTGCCAACGTCAGACTAGATTCTATCAAAAAAAAAAAAACAATAGACTTTACACTTCGCGGACTAGAAAGCAGTGTTAATGAGGGAATAAGTGAAGGCAGTACTCGACACAACAGACGAGTTGTGACTAATAAACCACTTTATATGCTCTAAACTCGCATTGTGAATTTTCAGCATGTGCAAGTGGGCGATTTATTTCATTCTCTCGTGCTTTACCAACTTGTCATTCTTCAATTGATGATGTTTCTATTAATAAGAAAGAAAATACCAAAATCACTACAATTTGTTGGTTATATGTCACGAATGACTAAACTGAAGAAACATGAAATGTCCTTCTATATTGTTTTTTGTATGTATGATCACGCTTTTATGTAAATCTATCTATCTATCTATCTATCTATCTATCTATCTATCTATCTATCTATCTATCTATCTATCTATCTATCTATCTATCTATCTATCTATCTATCTATCTTAACCATTACGTATTGGAACTCTTGCTACCATGTCACTCAATCCTTATGTCTGGATATCACCATCGCAAGTCATCAATATATGCTTCTGTAATCAGTATGTCATTCCATATATACCATGCTATCAGTATTTCATCCACTCTATAAGTGTGTTGTTAACAGCAACCACAAAGAAAAAAAGATTAGCAAAGGAAACTGGTGGCCATAACAGCCAAGTTTAGCCATGTAATTCGGCATTTGAGTGCTCCGATGACAAATTTGTCAGGAACATTTCATTTTATAGTTCAGTGGCGGCCAGCAGCTGCACGCAACGATCTCCCAATGTACTACGAAACAACAAAGTAACGAGGGTTCATAAGCGCAACTGTGATACCGGCGAATTCAGCGAAATGTAAGCATATATACGACGTGAATTACAGGCAGTCTTAAAAGGCGCCTGGCAATACGTTTTGGACACGCTGGAAAAACACTGCCTATAGGTAGTGGAGCCTCCTGAGAAAACGCGAGCCAAACTTGAAAGCGCAGCACGTGGGCTAGAATTCATAAGTAATTCTTTACGTCAGTGAGAAATCACTTCCTCTACACTCGACAAAAGGCCGCCGTGATAGCTCAGTGGTTAGAGCATCGAACGCGTTACACTCGACAAAAGGCGCCATAAATTCGAAAGACCGTGCCGTCAAACTAAAGTCCACGGCGATGTGCTGATACGAACGTTGTGAGCTAGTTGCCGTGGCCGCCGTAAGATGACGCTACTTGTCCACTTGCGCTCTCGCATTCACAACACAAAAAAGCCATGCGGTCTCAGATACAATAAAAAAGCAGTATTGAAGGTCATTGCGTATAGGCACATCTTCATGCCGCCTTCTTATCTCTCTTCCTGCGCAGTGAGATAAAGCTCTTGAAGCGTAGGACGAGTCCCTGTAATTCATGTCGTACTTCACAGATTCTAAATGCTTCCGCGGATGTCGATTAGGAGTCAATAGGTTCTATTGAAGACATTAAATGGTTACTTCGAAAAGCGTGCATGTCCCCTTTAAAATGGGCTGCCGTGAGCCGACTACACATGACTTGGAAAAGGACATGTCGCTGTGTCTGTCGCTATTCGCAAGCTTGGCGATAGCAGTGCAGCATGTCCCGATACACACTCCGGCCACGGATCTTTTCGTGTCGTGTGTATCGCCACATTATTGCACCAACAACGTGAGGCGTATGTACGTCGTGAAGGCATCATGGTTGTTCACTGATATAGTACGGGATGTGATTGAAAAAATGACTCCTACAACATTCAAAAGTAAAAAAAACGCGATATTTTGTGGCTACCTTTACACTTTCTTGTTTTAAAGAAATGGCAGATATCTTATGATGACATCCGGTAAATACAGGTTTAGAAGTCTGCAGCGTTTAGAAGTCTGCAGCAAAGTGGATGCACACAAGCCTTAAGCATTGGACACACATTAAATAATGGCATATTGAGACTGTCTTCCGGTAATTCCGCCTTCCGCAAGAATATCTGAATATCTTCCGCAAGAATATCTGAATATCTTCCGCAAGAATATCTGAAGTGTGTACAATTTAATCGCATAATTCACTCGTTCTTTGGATGCGCTAAACATATATGGTTGGCCCAAATGGGCGAACTGAAGCAGTTGTAGCGCATGGACCACTGCTGGCTTGATGTTATCAAAAAGGTGGTAGTTGGTAATTTTTTCAAGAGTGATGAAATGTTAGTGAATTCACTGGAAAGAAATAGTTTTTTTTTTCATTTTTTTAGAAGTCCAAGAGGAGCGAGTGGCGTTAAATGAAACATCTATCTACTTTTTTTCGCGAGTGTGAAGACTGCTACGGCGATTACAGCTAGTGCAGCACACGTGTTCTAATGAGCGTAAAAAAGTGTTTACATCACTGCAATTATTGCCGAAAACAGTGATGTCACCCCAGCGGTTTTTCTGATAGCACACATCAGCGCTTCTGCGGCTATTCTTCGCGTAAACTTGGTCAATATACGCCTCTCCGCACCAACCATCACACGCCGATTTCTTGAAATCTCAAGGCAGTATTTGGATCTGCTCAAAGATACCGTCACTTCATGTTCACGCGACGGTGCTTATTTTCTATATATAATACAAAAGGTTGAGTATTTGAAGGTATATATGTATCTCCTACTTGTATTATTGCCCTCTGCGACCCTAAAATTTCTGCCTGTGCACAAAAACATATTATGAAATCAGTGAGAGAATATGATAGTGTGGAACGCGCATATATCGAGCTCGAAAAAAAAAGGCTGATATCGCTTATATGCATCAAGTACTACAATTAGAACTTTTGTACAAAAAATTCAATTTCCTATGTGGATTGAAGTGTTCAAGTGGTTTCACAGTACTTCTTCACGTTATCATAACAAACACGCCTTCACACCATGAATGTCCCAGTCTTCAATGCTAGAAATTTGTTACCCTACAGTCCTTTTGCATTTGGTCAAAGAAAAGGGAAGTCAGAGGAACGTACACCGCTATTCAGTATAATAATAAAGGAAAAACCAACGTTTAAAATGTATTGAAAACAAGGGCGTGTAACAGAAATAAGCCGTATAGGTGGAGCATTACGTGCTGGTTGACTGCAGCTGGTCTAATGGTGCTACAAATTTTGATGCAAATACTTGCCCATTTTCAAGGTTTTATTCTGGTGGGAACTCTGCCAGAATAAGTGCACACTGATAATGACAGATTAGTCCACGTAATCATTATCAAAAGCTAAAGAAATAAAGATGCTGGCAGTATCCATTGATGCGGTCTCTGAATCTGCATTTAGAGACTATTGAGTGCTGTAAAGTGAACACCATGGCCTTGTACCTTAAACCACACTATGCTAAACATATGTCAAACCCTGTGTACATCCTAGCCAAGCAGGATGTGTCGAGGGCAAGAGCACAGCCTCGGTCAGACTGTGCCCTTATTTGCTGCTTCCAAGTATTGACAACTGACCTCTTTCTTTGACATCTCCAAAGATTTAGCCCTGTCGCTCTCTTCCACTGTGACGACGTCCGATGTTGGTAATAAAAGAAGTTCTTTGGCACCTCCTTCGTTCAACTCAGGCTTGAAAATTGTTTTTATTGAACCTTCGTTTTCTTGAAGCTTGAATGCAGATGCTACACGATATGAAGAATAATAAAGTGAGATAGTCACTCGTAGCACACGCAAGAATTCTTAACAATTAAGCTCTTTTAGTCACTATTAGCATCACTGTTTTGTAATTTACTATAAAAAATTGATAAACTGCAGGAAAGTCAAAATATTGGCTTGAAAAGGGGACGGAGTCCTCCTGCTTAGAATTTAGGTGTCTCTGTGTAGGTACTACGACGGAGAAACCTATTCTCTAGGTGCATGAAATGTTGACGTTCAGCGTTATTTTGCTGGTCGCTTAATAAAAAAATTTTCAGCACTGCCCCGCGTTGGTTTCCCCAGACTACACTTGTTAGTTAAATGAGGTGTTCTATTTATTTGGGCAATAAGCCAAACTGAAGCGAATGGTACCTATCAGGGCCATAGCAGTTCCTACATTTTGAAGCTTCAATAGGTGTATATTATTCTGGCACTCCTTTAGCGCAACTTCCGCTCTGCTTAGTTTGCTGTCATGTTGATTTTACTTTTTTGGCAGGGCAAATGTTTAAGAACTTTGTAAGAATAGATGGCTTTTTTTTTCAATCATACGTATAAATAATTAAAAACACTTATCTTGCAGACGTGGCGACCAGAGGGCGAGTTTCTGCTTAATTCACAGTACGCCATATCAATGTATATTATTTCTGTACCTGCTCATGAGGGCTAGTTTTCTTGAAGAAGGAAATAGAAAACATTACAAACTTATCGAAATTATCAAATAGCCTAGCTTCATTGAGGACACGCTCAAAGCTTCAAATAAAATAATAATGGAACGTACTATTGGGATATTATTCTAACAAGAATCAAGTAAGTGTCATGGTTAATTTAGTAGGATCGTTAGACCGCCCTCTGTACAACCGATGCTGCATGTGCTAAAACAGGGAATGGCTCTGCGTGATGACACAAGTGCTGTACTAGAAAAATTCGTTTAATAATTTCTATTATTAATAAGTAATAATTTCTGTATAACAGCGGGTCGGCATACCATTAAATGTATTGATATTGAATTGTATGTTTAAAAAGTTCGTGAAAACAATGTTACTTTATTATGCACACCTGATGAATGAAAATACATGATTTCCGTAGTTTGCATCTTCTTACTCGTAGCTAAAGTTAATTCGTTAGCGTTCCATTGAAGGTGAAGTTTAAGAAAACACAAAAATCAAATTTGTTAATATGGTTGATTGGGCGAGTTGGTGATACATGATTGTTTCGAAATGAGAGCGCACTACTTAGACACGGGCAGCGCTTGTCCTTGTCTTTCGGTCCGTGTCTAAGTAGTGCACTCTCATTTCGAAACAGACAAGAAGCAAAACGTTTCAATATTCATGGCTTGTTTATTTCCTTTGGTCATTTGTATTTTCGAGCGAAAATGCTGGAGTCAAAGTGTTCAAACTCTGTATTATGCTGCTGGCTGGCATCGCATTGGCCTTCTGAACATGTTACTGCAGGAACTTTCCGCGCGAGCCGATGAAAAGGGAGAATTCAGTGACTGCTAAAGCTTGACATATAATTCGAGACAGTGGCGAACTTATGTCACATAAATGTTTAAGAATCAAAAGGTTGAGAATGTACTTCTCTGCAGTTATATAAAATAAGTCCAACAAGTTAACAATTTTACAGCCACAATAAAAACTGCGAGCCGCATACCTTTTATACGGTTAACTTCGCATTTACCTAAAACAAGGTACCTGTGTTTGGTGAAAACTTACCAGATGTGGCGATCAGAAATGTAAAGAAGATTAAGATGAGTAGGTGCCTCATGATGTCCAACTGAAATAAAAAAAGATTTTGCGCGAAAGTGCTATCGGGGCAAGTGCCATATTTCAAGGGTCCTACCAGGGTGCACTATCACATCATACTAATGTAAATCTCTGTTCCACAGAAGATAAAATGATTTATATATCTGCTATTTGGGTTCTACTTGAGGTCAATTACAGGGCCTCATCAAGAGTGAGGCCCATGGAACGACTATATGTATGCTCTCCCAGAGTACCAAGTACTTTAAATTGTTATCCATTTCTTTGGACACATGCGTACAGCAACGCTGAAAAGGGGCAATTTTACATTCGGATAGCTACAGATCAGCCAACGAAAGGTTCTAGTGCAAGAATAGGATCTTGAAAGTGGGGACTGTAACTGAGTTCATCGCATGTATAAAAGACTGCAAAAGCACTGTCGCATGTCTTTGAAGCTACTGGGATGACTCACTATGAGCGAAATGAAACAAATGTTTCAGAATGCTAGTAACGTCAGTAGCAACAGTTGCTTGAGCGACAATCATCGCGAGATAGTGATATTTTGTCCCGAACATTGCAAAGACGCCAAGACGACGCCAGGCTGCTTGTGAATAACTCGATGCACTGAAACTTCTAAACGGAGCTTTATAGCTCTGAATGACTTACTGCGGTGTCAGTATGCCCCTTTATGTCAAGCAGCGGCCTCCATTTTCTCTTTTTTTTCTTCGTTTCACAACGCAGTCAAAGTCCTTCAGAACTTTTCGAAAACTACGGTTCTAGTTGAACGCCTTTCATTTTTGTATAGTGCTATGGGTACATGCACGTCAGCTAAATCACTGGCAATTTTTTCAACTCCTTTCGTGCCCCACCGCGGTGGTCTAGTGACTAAGGCACTCGGCGGCTGACCCGCAGGTCGCTGGATCAAATCCCGGCTGCGGCGGCTGCATTTCCGATGGAGGCGGAAATGTTGTAGGCCCGTGTACTCAGATTTGGGTGCACGTTAAAGAACCCCAGGTGGTCAAAATTTCCGGAGCCCTCCACTACGGCGTCTCTCATAATCATATGGTGGTTTTGGGACGTTAAACCCCACATATCAACTCCTTTCCTTCTCTCTACTCTCTCTGGTCCATATCTTCCTTTTTGCAATCCCCCTGTGTAGGGTAGTGAACTGGCCATATGCCTGGTGAACTCCCTAGCTTATCTCTTGTTCTTCATTCGTTCATTCTTTCTACTTCTTTCGCTTTTTAATTCCCAAATTTTTTACCTTAAGTTTTCTTAGCATGTGCGAATTCTTACAACCTTTATTTGTTTTTGCGGATCTGCCTCTTTACTAAAATATGAATTGCCAATATATTGCCGCAGTTTTTAACACGTTCTGTGGAAACTCTGTTAGGTAGTACACCCGACATGAAATATCTTTAGCGAAGTGATAGCGAATGAAAAATATACTAAACGTAATATTACGCCTAACACAGACCAAGCGAGCCACAAATGAAAGACACAAAATTGATCTGTAGGGTTTAACGTCCCAAAACCACCATTTGATTATGAGAGACGCCGTAGTGGAGGGCTCCGGAAATTTTGACCACCTGGGGTTCTTTAACGTGCACCCAAATCTGAGTACACGGGCCTACAACATTTCCGCCTCCATCGGAAATGCAGCCACCGCCGCATGAAAGACACAAACGTCAAGTGGATGACATCTACACATTGCTGCCTTGTGCGTGGGATATGTAAGAGGGTATGAAAAAGAAGCAGAAGGACTGCCTATGACGTGAAAAACAAACTACCTCAATGTCAGAACAGCACAAAGGCAACGTGCAGAAAAACGCAGTGTGTCATTAGAGAGTTTTAGTATTGCGTACGCTGCGTACGTGGCAGCGTTGCGTACGTAAGGACACCACGTTCTGCGTAGTGCGCATGCGCATACTGCAACGCGCACGTATCACGTTACGTATGCAGCCACTACGTATGCACGCATGAGATGCGTGCGTGCGTACGTATGAGGTGATCGCACCGCTCTAGAACAAGCTCGCGACACCGCGAGACTTCGTTTTGCAAAATGGCGGCATCGAAAGCAAGTACCGACCGGCTCTGTGGCTTGAAATATGGCCATAATATGGCTATAACACTTGTATCGGCTCACATTGGCTGTCAACAACACGTACTTCTATTTTGATCTACCAGATGACACAACACGCTTCACACTCGTTACGTACGCGGGTACTACGGCGTACTAAAAGCCGATTAGTGGCAAAGGACGCCACGTAACGCAAGGCGCTTGCGTGATGCGTACGTAGCACCATTCCGCAGTATTAAAACTCTCTATTTCTTCAGTTTCATTTAACAAACGTAAAGATTCCCGTTCATATACGAGCACTAAACTACATGGGTGAACCTGTGCCAAAAGAATTATGCATTCTGAGCATGCGTGTTCTCCAGCTGTCAGTGTATAGCCATCAGCACACCTTCCTTGTGGTGAGAACGCGGGCTCTCGTAGAGAACGTTATTTTGTCTCTATAAACAGTGTGATATGAGCGACTCGTATAACAAAGAAAGTACCGTCTGGAAAATCCCGTTTCAACCAAAAGAAAGGTACACAAAATGCATTTTCGTGTGGGAGGTCTGATTAGTTTTCTTGTTGTAAGTTATTTTCAAAGACATGAAGCGCAGTGCTTTTTCCAGATATGGCCAGATAAAACTGCGCGCATATCAGACGACGATGCTCGAAGCACCCGAAGTTCATTATCTCTGGGTAACCTTAAAGAAAGAATGACGACACATCTGTCACCGTTGTGGGAAGATCGAGCAGCAGCATCCACTAGTATGACCTCCAAAAAAACGCAGACTACGTAACTATGAACGTTCATTTTTTTATTGCAATCTCACTTGCTTCTGCAGCCGGGTGCTCATTTGAGCCACCACGTAACGCAGACAGTGATCTTCGACGGGCAATTTTGTCGTACAGGCATAGTAATCAGAACAGGAGGGAGGCTGTGGCTGCCCCTTCAGTCAGCTAAAGTGGGGGGGGGGGGGCAAAGTCAGCTCGACGCATTCATATAATACACAGGGGGTGCTGTGACGGTGGGAGCGAATTCAGCCCTGTACATTGATATAATAGACAAGGAAACCAACGACCCCCCCCCCCCCCTTCTCCCCTGAAGAAGAACCCTGCGCACTCCTGTGGTCACAGCAGTCAGCTTTGTAACACTGCTTGCTGTGGCTGGCCGTTAGGTACGCAGACTGTTTCGAAAAAACTATGTAGTAATATAGACACTACACAGTGTTGCAACCTATTTTTACCTATGGTGAGTTCAATTTGCCCTGGCTAAATTCTTGTGTTCTTACGATGATGTTAGCAAATACGCGATGTCATAAATTACTGTATGATCCATGTTCTCTTGGCGTAACAGCTGTGTGTTTTTTAGGCGGAAATGCTGTAGGCCTGTGTGCTCAGATTTGGGTGGACGTTAAACAACCCCAGGTGGTCTAAATTCCCCGAGCCTTCCACTATGGCATCTCAAAGTCATATGCTGGTCTTGGGACGTTAAGCCCCAGATATCAAGCAATCAATTGTGTGTGGTAATGGAGTTACAGAACTTGAAAATGCAGTGCAAGTACGCCAGTTCCATTTACTTTAGAAGCTTCTTAAAGTTTTATAAACCACAGCGAATGTTCTCGTGCTCTGTGTAAAAGTTATATACTACAAGAAAGCAAATTACAATAAAATCTAACCCGCAAGAATTTTAGTTTTGACACAACATACGGAAAAGTAGTACTTCTAGCTAACGTATCACTTTCCTAGCTAAAAAAATAACGTCGTAATGCTTACCTTTTGCTGCTGCCTCGTCAGATTAGAATGCACTTCCAATATTGCAGATGTTCAGTACAGCGGCCTTCCAATTTGATGGTCCTATATATTTCCACCATTGTATTCATTATCAAAGAAGCCGGATGAGGCCTGCCATCTGTATCACCACATGAACGGGGCATTTGTTTTATTATCGGTTGTTACTTCACGCATTATGAGACACTGACCGCAGAACATTTAGCGACACCCCTCAACCTTCAGCGATTGCATTCTCTCAATGCGATATATACAATCAGCAGCTATTGTTAAGACTTGTGCCATCGAGGAAATACCAAACAGGGTGCTTTCTGATAACACAAGATTTCATGTACAGGATTTGTATTTCATGTGTACTCAACACTCCATGACTGCTGCACGCTAATGGTCATAAAATTGAGCGTCTTCAAAGAATACTGAATTCTAAATTCTTGTTAAATATTAACAGCCTAGTCAGTTAAATACATTTGTTGCATTTGTCAAAGAAGAGCACCATAGTGAGCAGTACCTGCTGCGTGCAAGCCAACAGTATGAAAACTATAGTTTGGAGTTATACTGAAGAAAAATCAACAAAGTGAGCTTTTTATGTGTGATATATCTTCACCCAAGGCCACCTGCATGAGCATACGTGAGTATACAAAGTTGTTTAGAATATGTGTGAAAATAGCTGCGTCCCCATTGAGCACGTGGGAGTCGGCTGTTTATGACAGTGAGGATATCTAATTTTTTTGTTTGCATAAAAAACCTGTAGATACAAGCGACTACTCTATAGATTAGCAACGTCATCTGTAACTTAGATTCGAACGGTGAGTATACCTGCAAAAATGCGTTGACAACCCTAATTTCTGTTTTGATATCTATTCCAATTGCAAGAACAAGCGTCTCCAGCGTGATGTCAGTACGTTTTTTAGCACTGAAACACGCTGGAAACAGTGCTACATGCTGGGATTTACTAGCACTTCGCTGGGCACGTCGAATTTAGGAGCATCGCTGGGCACACTGGGATATGGCTGGCTCGCATTGGTAGGGGCGCTGGCTTGACCGCTGTGAAGCTGGCGCACACTGGAACGCACCGGGAACGCTGGAATTTTCACTGGAGTGCGCTGGTGCACAGTGATTTTGGCAGTCCGCGAGCACGTGTATGTAGCGTGTGCAGCGGAATGTTTCAGTATCGTGGAATATAAAATGCTACTCTAACAGGTCCTGAGCATACCTCATGTTTGTCGCTTTGAGAAGGTACAGAATGAACCTAAGACATTTGCAATGTAAGATATGTCAAATCACTCTCATTTTTTGTTTTCTTTTAGAATGAAGATATTATTGCGTTAATAACCTGAAGCAGCCAACGCTGAATACTTTGCTTTCTAGAACGAGTTTTTCTTAATTTTCACGCAGCTTCAATAACAGCGGTAATGCTTTTATTACACGTGCGTACTGCAGCAATTACTGCACGCGTTTTGCATGCTCCCCCGTGTACCATATTCGCACCAGTCGTGTATTTCTATGACAATTCCATGTTACAGTGTTTATAAGCCTGGAGCTGGGCGCCCATCCTAATAGGAACAGGAGATCATTCACGCCGCGAAGTTTTGCGAGACGTAAACGAGCTCACCCGATCGTTTCACAAGGTTTCACAGTGGAGGCGAGAGTAACAGCTGTCGTTCGATTCCGCCACACTGTTATTGCTTGTCTAGACATGATTATTTTCTACTAATTTCAGGTAGATTTTAGGCAATGGCTAGAAATATTTTGAAGCTAAACGCAGAAACGTCAACCATCCCACCACAGCCACGCGGAGAGCGGTCTTACCCAGTGCCCCGTCCCAGCGAGCATTGGGCTGGCTGCGTCGGCGTACATGCTACCGACGCACCTTGCTTTGAGTACGCAGTACTCTAAAGCATAAGAATGACTGTAAAGTGTATATTAGACATCCGACACCCTAATCAACCATTTTTTATTGTGTATGGTGCCCGTACAAGGCGTGATGACATTTGATGCGTCGAGATTTTAGCAACGCAGGCTCTCACAGAAAGCTGCCGAACCAGCCGGTACTTCTCTGGCCTGTATCAACGCGCAATCTTAAGTTGGTAAATTGGTGCACTTTAACAAAAAAATCCGCTTGCACGCTTTTTCAGCGGATTGTATTAGTATTTTTCGGGCGGTTTTTAAGTTGTGGGTATCGATATAACTGCAAATCTACACTGTGGTACGCCGGCTGTATACTGCTACATTGTCATTTACCCGAGCAAACTACTCCATATTCAATCGTATATCGTACAGACCATGCGGTTATGATACGGACTTCGTGCTTTAAGACGGTCACCCATTAGAAAAGGCACACACATACTGCCCATATTAGCTGTAACGGGACCATGAAACTATTTTGGTGTGTTTGTACAAACACAATGGGCCGGTACATCTAGTTTTGATGATTATTTAGTGACTGATTTAAGCTATCTGCGTAAACATTGTGATTTATTACAATGCTTTAAAGCTGCGATTCGCTGCAGATCAGTGCAGATCGTGGCAACTTGGCCAAACGCTTTTTCATCCGCCCTTTCACAGAAAGTAATGAACTGGCCACGTGACGAGGTGAGGGCAGGTCAGCAGCCAGAATACCGTGGCTGCTTATCTGATTGGCTGTCATGAGCTGAACAATGCGCGGAAGTTAGACCGGCTGCTAGGGTGGCGGCACCTCTCGGAACAAATATGAACCACTCCGCGATCTCCATTCTGTTGCTGGGCGACACTATATACGTGATGGCCTCCAATCCTGTGCGCATCCTGGCGGCGTGCGATCTCGGAGCTATTGACTGATAAGACCTGAAATCGTCGAGCGCACTCATGAGTGCTCTGCAATCATCAGCGATGCGAGCGTGCCTCATGAATTCAGGAGGCCAGGCAAAGATGAAAGGGGGGTATGATATTATCTGTAGTGGCCTAGGTACACAGCGTGTCCCTAAGTTTGAGGTGCGAATGGTTTGATGATGCCCTACCCTAAATGCTGGCAAAACTATAAAAAAAGCTGTGTCAAGGTTCATTTAGGGCCGCGGTGCTGATTCATAACAAATCTTGAAAATTTCACACGCATAATTGGTCGTTGTATAAAGCCTTTTACCCTTTACACTATTGCAGCCATATAAGAAAGCTTCACTCACACAAGCCACTTTCAACTTTCTGTAATACATTATACCAATCCACAGTTTAACCTTCTAAAGTAACACGATACAATAAAACGTGTGCTTTAAGCGGTTGAAATACGGACAAGGAACAGGATATTGCTGTAGCGTTCAACTCCTAAATTCTGGGCTTAAGGATCCTCTAATCTTTTCGTTTGGTGCATCATGCATTAGCGCTCATAAAAGCACGGATGATTTGAGCGGTAGCGCCAGGCGGAGCAAGATTCTACCGTCCGGTAACGCCTGCTGAAAGTACAAACTGAACTTATCACTTCGAAGATATATCGGATTCAGGCATCCACTCTCGCGATATGGGATCAAAACTACAATCCGCTAACCACACCTAAGGCCCGGTTTTCGCTGTTTGCGTGTCTCTGCATGGCGATAGTCAATATGATTAGCAATAAATCTACCCTTTGGTGTTGTCATGTGAGCCATTTCATCGCTGGCTCTTTTTCTTTCTAGGGTGACTTTCTAAGTTATAACGACAAATCTCGTACTAGAAAAAACGCTGGTGTTCTTAATTTCAAATTGTTTCAATAGTAATAGATATGAAAATAACCTAAAATATTCCATTAATAAATTTTCCGCTCACGCCTGTCACGTTAACGGCTTGTATTTCCATCTGCAATTTTGAATTTCGGTCACTCAAATTTCCGAAACATTAAATCATAATGTGTTCAGTCGATGACTCACTCAGGAGACAATATATTGTGTTTTTGTGGAATATGAACCACATTGGTCTTGTGTATGTGTTTGTTTGTCGGGTCTCTCGTTTTCGCACCGTTTTTTTTTTTCAATAATTGGCCCTTGAAGCGCCAAATAAATGAATACGTTGTGATTACCCGCATCTATCTATCTATCTATCTATCTATCTATCTATCTATCTATCTATCTATCTATCTATCTATCTATCTATCTATCAATCTATCTATCTATCTATCTACATCCGGTATATGTCATGGTCGTCTTCCCTACTTGTATATATCAAAACGTATAGTACATGTGAAGGCATGAGCTCAACGTACAGGTAATAACTTAAATAAAGCGACTTCCCTGTCACGTAGGTAATTAAATGTTCTCCAGTTGTCACATGCAGCACATTGTCGCATACTATGACCCATATTGTGAGGTTATATGCTTGAGGAATCTGCCATCTGTTTCCACGAAGCCTTGGGATATACTAGAGCAGTAGCGGAAAAAAACCCGTACCACATTGGTTGTGGTGACGGGGTCGGTGGTGTTCCGTACTGGTAAATTATACTAATCCAAACAAACAATGAAGAAACGCCAGAAACCACATACCATGGCAATCGATGTTCTAGAAACCATGCGGAGTGAAGGTAACTGTGATGTAGTGTTTATTGAGTGAAAAGCATTGAGAGGGTGCAATTACGTATTTGAATTCTTCCGAGACTGCACCACTAGACTATGGAAGCATATGTTCCACACTCGCATCTACCCACATCGAAGCAGCTTTATCACCGAACAAGAAACAGAAAATCGAGAGCCTTATACGGCAGTACGCCCCATAATTTTTAATGCCATCGAAAGTAGAAAGAACATCCATCGCTAAACATCGCATCACAATTTTTTGATGAATCTGTTAGGCTTATTTGTCAGCACCCATACCTATGTCACCAAAAGAGAGAGAAGTCATCAGAGGCCAAGTTGAAGAAATGCTTAGTAACGACGTAATTCAACTGTCAGCCAGCCCACATGCTTCACCTGTAGTTCTGGTAAAGAAAAAAGAACAGACTTTGCGCTTCTTAGTTGACTACCAAAAATTACAAGTCGTAACAAAGCAGGTTATCTATCTCGCTTTGTGAAACTGAAATTGAAACTGAAACTTTCAAGGATCGATGGCAGCCTTGACGGACTACGAGACGCAAACTCATTTTTC